GACATATTCTGTTCCAACATTTTTTGAAACTTGTTTTATGGCCTAAAACATGACCAATTACTTAAATGTGTAGTGTCTTCTTAGAAAGAATGTGTGTTTTCCAAATTTTAGAAGTAATGATCTGTATACATCCATTAGATTAGGCTTGTTGATTACGTTTTCAGGGCTTTTATATTGTACGGATAGTTTCATCTGCTTGAACCACACATTACTCAGAGATATTTCTCCAAGTTTTCAACTTTTGGTTTATTTATTTCCCCTTGTAGCTCTGCTAATCCTCTCTTCCATATATGTATACATGTATGTGTGTATGTATATTATGTGTATATGTCTATACATATTTGAAATATGTTAGTGAACTCTTTTATTTTGCTGGTGAACTTAATTTTTTCATTATAAAATGACTCTCTTTATCTCTCACAATGCTTTTGTGCCTTAAAATTATGCCTCACAAAGTAAGCAGGGCCATTCTCTACAGGTCACATACTGGGAAAGGCCAGGGAAAGACAAGGTGAACTTTCTCCCTCTTTCCTCATTAGATTACATGGTGGCTTTTTGTTTTCTCTACTATCATGTTTGGCTTTCCTTTTTTTTCAGTCAGAACATGTAGTTATTTTTACAATTCAATTTTAAAAATTTTAGATGTTCCAATCGAATTGACTCTTCAGGTGTGAATCCCACTAAGCACGTTTCCGTATAGCAATCTCACTCCCTTTAGTTAAAAACGAGAAGAGCAATATAAAGTAGCTTGTCCATATGCGATGCTTCCAGAAGTATTATGTGTGACTTACTAAATGGACTTTGTTGAAGGAGTGGAAATATTTGCAGTCATTTGCTCAACAAGCCTTCAAATTCCATGATTCCCCAAGAGTAAATGCTGTGCACTATTTATTCTGTAGCTGAGGTGTATACCTATGGTAATAAGCCCCAAACTTGACAGACTGCTAGTAGTGTTATGATAAGAAAGCATCCGAGGGAGCATCTGAGATCCTGCTTCCTTGCAGGTCATCGATTTGGCTCACATAAACTCCTAGAAGAAAAAAGCATCTGAGGCTACATCCATGCTGAATACTTGCTACTCCATATAAAAATCCTCTTCTCCCACTCTTTTATGTCAAACTTTGTCATGTCTAAGATTTGTCTGATGTCAAGCCTGTGAAGAGAAATGCAACCTTCCAAACAGTCTGTAACAGAAAAATGCTTTCAGGATTGAGATGTTTTTGCCCACGTGGCAGATTACATCCATGGCCAAATTTTTTACCCTCCTGGTATCCACACTCTGCCATGTGACTTTGCAGCTCTTCCCACAAAAGGAGTACATTTCTCCACCCTTTGACTCTGAGTCTGACTGTGTGATTTGCTTTAAATGACAAAAAGAGGCAGGAGTGATGATATACCAGCTCTGAGCCTGGGTTTCAAGACACGATTTCTGCTTGCTTCCTGGTGCTTCTGCTATCATCGTAAAGACATATTCTGTTCCAAGAAAAGGAAAAGAAGCCCAATAATCCCAGGAGGAGGATGAGAAATGTGTGCAACAGAGATGCGCCACCTTAAGTTGTTCTCGCCAAGCCCAGAGCAGAGCCCCAGTCAACAGGGAGAACTCATGAGCAAACCCAGCCAAGACCGAATGAAGCAGCTGAGATCAGCCACCGAGCAGGCAACACACAGAATGAGTGAGCCTTGATAATAAATGATTATGGTTTTGGGGTTGGTTTGTTACACAGCAGTAACTAACCAATATAATAGCTCAAAGTGATTTCCAGCCATTAAAATCCTGGACATGCACAATCTATAGTTGGTCTAAGTCTACCTCTGGCACTCCTCAGATTATAATAGAGCTTCTAGGGCAAATCACAGCTCTCTATTATGCCCCCTAAGAGCTTACCTGGGTTTGCCTCAAGCCCAGAAGAGCCTTTGCAGGAAGGACTGGTGCTCCCTCCATTCGGCTGCTCAAGGGAAGATGAGTTGGAATTGTAGGAAATTGTCCCAGCCACAGGAGGTGGATTGATGACTGCCCCAACAGAGGAGAAAGAAGGCATTAGATGACTCCTGTCTTACGCAGTAAGGAACCAAGCACACGTGAGGCCATCCCATTCCTGCCCAACACCACAAAGAAGTCAATGTTAGAATACAAGAACTGGGGTCAATGTGAGCATTATAATAAAGACAGTAACAGATTTAACCCACTGAATAGAATATCTCAGGCCATACTGATAAAATAATAAGAAAGAAAGAAAGAAAGAAAGAAAGAAAGAAAGAAAGAAAGAAAGAAAGAAAGAAAGAAAGAAAGAAAGAAAGAAAAGGTAAAGGGTAAAGCTCTTCCTTATAGGAAAATGCCGACATCTTAATAAGGAAGGAACAATGGAAGTTAGAAAAAAATTTTCAGCAGCCAACATATAAAAATTGATTCAGGGAAGAATCATCTGTCCAGGCTAAACCTTGTGAGTATAATTTTAATGAAGGCAGGCCAGTCTCAGAGTATCTCCCCAGAAAAGTACTTTTTGATTACAAAAGGAAAAACATAACATTGCAGTGGAGAAATCTTGTAAACAGCACCTTAACCCAGGGATCAAACTTAATAGCAACAGGCCGGCTGAGTGGCTCAGTTGGTTAAGTGCTCACTCAACAGTGTGAGTTCTGAGCAACAGGGTTGCCGGTTCAATTCCCGGCCCGAGCTGAGCTGCCGCTGAGCTGCCAACAGGTGGCAGGCTGGCTCAGCTGGTGAGAGCACGTGCTCCTAACAACAAGACTGCCTGTTTGATGGTGGGCTACACCCACTGGCAACTAAAGACTGAACTTGGCACCTTGAGCTGAGCTACCGCCCAGATGGCTTAGTGGATAGTGTGTGCGCTCTTAACAACAAGGCTGCTGGTTTGACTCCTGCATGGGATGGTGGCTACACCCATCCGCAACTAACTGAACACAGCACCTTGAGCTGAGCGGCGCAACTGGACTTTGAGCTGAGCTTGCTGTACCCTCCACAACTAAGATTGAAGGACAACAACTTGGCTGTTCCCCTCCCCCAGTTCCTCAATAAAATCTTAAAAAAAAAAAATCAATTAAAAAAAAAAAAACAAGGACCAGCTGAGTGGCGTATTGGTTAAGAGCTGGCTTGGGACGCCAGCTCTGAGCAGCAGGGCCCCAGTTTGGATCCCACATAAGGGCCAGTGACACTGCCTTCTACAGCTAAGATGGTGAACAACAGCTCGACCTGGAGCTGGACTGCCATGAATCACCGGTGACGGTGTAGGCTGCAGCAGGGCCATTGTAGGACACAGGATGTTGCTTTACTAGTGTGATGCTGATCTGCAGCTGAGAGTTAATGAGGAATACAGACATTCTCAGTGACATTGGTCACATGTATGACATAGTACAGCCATGCAGACAGATGCCCAGAGACAACGTTCATCAAAGTTTCAATATAGCCACAGTTCAGTCCACAGAGGACATTTCCAGCAGCCAAGAAAGTGACAGAATAAGAAAACCAAGCAACAGAGACACACCAATCTACAGCACTCCTAACTGAACAGCAATCGGTATATGAAGAATCAGGATACGCCCAAGTGCCCGGCTATGTGGTTTTCCTTCCAGCAGACAGGCCTGCAGCATTTCAAAGTTCAGGGGAGTGAGTCTACACAAAGAGCATCTTGCACAACTTCAGAGCCATCATTATGAATGTCATTTATCACAGTAGCATAGATGTGCAGACATGCCAATTAAGTCGATGATTACACTCTTCTTTCCCCCCGGAGAACACACTGCAATTACGGTAGAACAGGAGAAGACAGCCTGTTTCTGATGGCTTTCAGGTACTACTGAAGAGTACAATCCAGCTTAACTGGGTCACAGCCTTACCCACGGAAATAAACATGAAATTCCCAGAGGGTAAGAGACACTCTGCCTTCTCCATCCTGAGCGATGACAGGTAATGAGCTGGAAGTGGAACAGGCTGGGAAGCATTTTGAAAAGGAGCAGGTAAAGGGAAGTTTTCACACAGAAAGAAATCCTGTCCAGAAGACCCTCCAGAAAAGAACTAAGTTGATCCTGCTGAACAGCTTTGGTATCCCCCAGCCTGAAGGAGGAAACTGCATTCTTCACTTATTCCTTCTATAAGCATTTGCCTACACATTTGCAACGCACAGCAGAGCCCCACAATGTAGTCGTTAGAGCTCTGGCTCGTAATGTGACATAGTAGTTAGGAATTAGACCAGTTCCATCATTTAACGAGATCTGATCTTGGTCAACTTGTCCTTCTCTGAGATTCTATTTCTCATCTATATTAAGGGGATAATAATAGCAACTTCCCAGGATTTGTGCTAAGGCTTAAAGATATGAAGCAAACTTCATGTGTAAGCAATTAATGGAACTATTGAGTTGTCGGAAAAATCATGATGCATTTTTACAACAACAAAAAAAAAGAAAAAATACGTCATGACTTTTCCAACAACTCCATATTAGTTATTACTGTGGCAAAACTGGGTCTCTGACCATCCAGGAGTCACTCTCGTAGAAGAGTGACAATGTACAGGAAAAAATGGGGCTAGAATAGCATGAGGCGTCATTTGACACAGCAGTTCTCAAATATTGCTGCACCTCAGAATCACTTGGGGAACTTTTGAAAGTTTCACCATCCAGGCCACACTCTAGGCAAATTACATCACACTCCCTTGGGAAGGGACTCAGAAACCAGTATTATTTTAAATCACTGTGGGGCCGGCCGAGTGGCTCAGTTGCTTAAGAGCTCACTCAAGAGTACGTGCTCTGAGCAACAGCGGTTCGAATCCCGGCCCGAGCTGAGCTGCTACTAAGGTGGCAGGATGGCTCAGCTAAAAAAATAAATAAATAAATAATAATAATAATAATAATAATAATAATAATAAATCACTGTGAGTGATGCCACTGCGCAGCAGAGTTTGAGAACCAAGAATAGGATATATTCAAGGTTCAGTGAAAGTCTGGAAGAAAGGAGTTCCCATGTTGGCTAGACAGCACAGATAGAATCAGGCAAGAGTTTGTGGGAGCAACGCCATTTGAAGGCTAGCTGAGATCAAAACAAAGGTAAAGTGAACAGCACTGGGACAGAGAACCATACAGGGGATAAGCCCAGTCACCACGGTGAATGTGTCCAGTAAACTCAAGTCTGGAGGGACCACGGTACATGCACACATGGGCCCCAAAGCTCTATAAGTTTGGGACCAGATAAGCATGAAATTATATTCTATGAACTAAGGTAAAAAAAAAAAAAAAAGAAAGAAAGAAAAACATGCAAAGATGTTTTTGGTAACAAGAATTCAAACAAAAAGGGTTTGACCCAAACCATAATACCTCATTCCCTAAGTACCCTGCTTTGTAGGAGTTTAATCGTATTTACATCCAAACTTGGGCTCTGGATGAAAAAAAAAATTTTTTTTTTAACCACCTTCTCAAATGCATTATGCTGAGTAAAAGAATCTAGACTCAAAAAGCTATGTATGGGCCGGCCGAGTGGC